GGGGAATTTCATGCATTATTTCAGGCATGAACAGCACCTGAGTAGAACCATCGACATTCCGTAAGCTAGCTGATAGCTTTTCTCAATGATAATTTCAGGCTTAATGCCAATATACTAATGTGACCCTAAACTTACTGTTCCTTGAAAAAATCCCAATATAAGGCTCAAAGCATCAGAGGTGACATTTGGGTTGTACTGCGTCGTACATGTCTCCGCTACAGTTGTCGTAAAGACTGAAGATCCAGTTCCTGTCAGGTCTGTATCATATGTGGTCTCAGGATCAAACGTCACTTGAAAGAATGTGATCACCCAAAAGATAAGCAGAAATATGAAGATGTTCAAAATGAAAAGCCAGCGTAAGAATACGAAATATGACGCAACACCGGCACCTTGATGACCTGAAACAAGATGAGAGTTAAACTTAATCATACTTTATTTTAGTTTTATATGCTTTTTATATCACTGCACGTTTGTAACATCACAGAAAATTGTGATGTTTAGGTAGTTTTTATACAAGGCTGCTGTCAATTAATGAATTAGAAATCTCAATTTTTTTGTCTCTAAAATATTTATTTGTTTGATTTGGTTTTATGTCACACCGACACAGTATAGGTCATATATTGACGTTCCAGCCTTACTGGTGGAGGAAGACCTCACGTGCCCTTCGGTGCATTATTTCAGGCATGATCGGGCACATGAGTAGAACCATCGACGTTCCGTAAGCTAGCTGGATCTAAGCTTCCTCACATGAAAGAATCCAAAGTCCCGATCAGGACCCACAGCAGTGAGGGGCAAGTGGTTTGAAGTCAACGACCTTAACCACTCAGCCAAAGACGCCCCTTTCTCTCAAAAATAAAGTTTCCTGTATTATAAATTTGTTATTAAAAAATTCCTGAAAGGTTATATGAACATATATAAACGGTTGTTTACAATATAAGCCTTGCCTAGTGGCTCAGGATATAAATGCAAACAACCTTTTATATAGGGCCATACAACCTGTCGGAAATCTTTATAACTACGGTAATAGTACATTGTATATAGATTTTTACAGTATAAAACACTAATCAGCCAGCATTTCAGCCTTGTCTTTATGTACATAATCAAGTCACTTCTTTCAAATCAACATTTCTGTAAATCAAATCAAACTTAAGTATTATGATCAAGGTTTGAGACAAACAGACTAACTGAAAACAATATTCTCTACAAATCTATCAATGGGCATAAATATCAAATAAATTAATTATTTAACAAGCTCTGAAACTTTTGTTATTGTAGCAAAGTGAACATAATTAAAATTCAATAGGTGATGCAGGATAAAACAAGTATCCTATTACTATACATTTCATTGTTTTAATACCTTCAATTTTCTTGATAGCATTTCTCCACATCTCAAAGCTGTACAAAAACTCGTTCCAGCTTATCTTAAAGCTGTTCCATCTCTAAAAGAAACAACAGAAAAATTATATCATGCTTAATGGATATGGTACTGTTCATACTTATAATTGCTTTCAAAATGGCTGTAAGAAACAAATATCATTTTTATGCTTGAATTTTGTTAGCTATTGTGAGATAAATTGCATGAGTTTTATGTCACATTGTTTATCTATTAAGATCTTTGTAAGCTAGCTGGATAGAATTTTAAGATCAGTAAATAACCAATCTAAGTAACAACAGCTATAATTACACAATGTTGAAATTATTTTTTAAGTATTTAGAGAGAATAAATCCTACTTATATGATTAAAGGACTCTGGTAACTGGTAATATTACGACACCATAAAATTCCTATTAAATGCCCTTCCCTTTTAAAGCCATAAAACCCTACCCCAACTCCCCCCCCCCCCCCCCACTCCAAGAGTTTTTTCATCAGGAAAATTCTACTCATCAGTGCTAAACTCGAGCATAAATCCCTAACTCTATCAAATCCTTCAGAATCCATTTCATTTTAAAATTAAGACAAAAATTTATAATATAAAACTTTAACACTTTTTAACATAATAACGTAAACTCCTTTTACACCAAACGTATTTACAATGATTTTTGAAATTGGGAAAATTTGTGTTTTAATAAACGCACTCCCTTTGGAAAATGTTTATCCCCCAGAGGCATTTAATAGGAATTTTACGGTAATTTGGTATATTCGTATATGACGTACATTTTTAACTCTGTGTCTGAGACCTTTGCTTGGCTTCACAGGTCCTGCCATCAGCAGTTCCCTGAAATGAAAAAAATTACCAAATAAAAACTTTACTCAAAATTTCTCCAAAAACAACCACAACTTGCAGTTTTTGAAAAAATTTAATTTTTAATTGTTTAGTGGGCTGGGGTGGCTTGTAGGTGTTAGTTTGTGGGTTTCTTTCTTTTGTAATTGTATTTCATATGTAACTTTGTTGTACATTTTGTATGTAGAAGTCATTAGCCGAAAACTCAGCCCGGGTGTAGATTTTCCGAGGTTTATGAAAAAAACCATGGAAACTGCTTCAAAAACCTTGGAAATAAACCAGTTTTACAAGGTTTTTTTTTAATTCCGAGGTTTTTTTAAAAACCTTGGAAACTTTATCCAAGGTTTTTGTATAAAAATCCTTGGAAATAAAGAAAACCTTGGAAACTATCTCGGAATTAAACACTCTGCCAAAAATCAGCTCGGAAAAAGCATGGAAATAAGAACTTTGTCATTTTTTTGCTCGGAAAAGAACTTTGAAAATTTACGTAAAATTTGTTGGAAACACTTTGCCAATATTTAGCTTGGAAATGACCTCGGATAATTGAACTTAACTAAATTTCATCTCGGAAAATGTTAAGACATAATCATGATTTAACTTATAATGGGCATCAAAAGCAATAATCAACAGTTAAAGCAAACTAAGATAACAACCCGACTGTAGATTGCCAATGGATATTTTTTAATCCATGGTCAGAGCAAACAATTGTCCAACAGCATGGAAAGGAGAGATTTGGTCCAGGGAATCAATTTTTAGTATGGACATTGTCAATGGCCAACTTCCTTTTCAATAAATTTGTACTTTAATCTTCTGAAGCCATTTTTTTGGGAGGAATCAATTAAAAAAATTTAAGTGTGAAAACATGGAAAAGTTAAATACAATGTAAATTCCTTGTTGCCATAAAATACCTTTTATTAATGGCTATAAAGGTATTGTAACTAATCATAATAAGATAAACATTATTCAAATAACTGATGATCAGAAAGACTTTAAAATTTTATTTTTTATTTTCATATTTTTTTTTATTATTTATAATTATTGTTACTAGATATCTTCTCCATTTTTAAGAATAGATAAAAGAGCAAAACTTATAATTATACAAAAAGAAACAATCAGTGTTTATGTCTATTAGTTTCCAAATGCATCAGTATTTTTCCTGCAGTTTCTTTCTATATATAGACTTAACTTAGGGTTTCTTGACAGCCTGTAAGCAACACTGAAATAAGAATGCTATTAATCTTTAATATATGTTTTTATGCCATATAAAATAGTATATTCTACTAAGCAAGTCTGTGACATACATTCAGATTACAATTTACTCTGCCATTAATTATGTGTACAATAAACATAAATAGTTTTTAATTGTCCTTTTAATATATAATTATGTACAATTAATGTGTAAAATATGAATGCTTGATAATTTCTTATAATTAAGATAAATAAATACTGCATCCACTAACTTTTCACACACAGAATATAACACACTGATCAGATAAAACTAATGGCACCCCAGGTGGTTCCCTCTATCGTATGCATGATCAATCTTCTTATTGAGCATTCTGGGATAGACCAGATTGTTCCATGTGATTATTCAGGGGGAGTCTGGGTTTTTATACCATCCAAAACAGTCTAAAATGACACTGCAACTGTGATTCTCTTTCAAGAACTTATTATAATTTTCAAGTTTTACTTTTATTTAACATTTGATATATTTGTACCTTCAATAAATGTAAAAATAAAATGATGATGGCTTTGATATTTTGGGATCACCCCTGTTTCACATTATGATTGCCCCTTCAGTTATACTGTTGAAAAATTTGAATCTCAGACATTAATGGGTCAAGTGGTTATAGTTGGAAATAGTGCAAACCTGGATTTATTCTAAGCAATTTTGGACATATCTTGTTTTAAATGTTAGGGAGCATATTTTGGAATTTTCAAAGAAAACATTTATCTAAGTGTGACAAGATTCAGGAAATGTTTGGTTGTTGTAATTGAACCTAAAGATCAATGACCTGGGACAGGAAGATAAACAAAAGAAACATGATAGTAAAAAGGTTCAGGTAAATAATTTTAGATTCATTTATGCATAAAATCTGTTGTTGTTTTTTTTTCAAATAAGTATTAAATACAAACTATTTTAGATCTATATTTTTAACCTAAATGTAAGCTAGTTTAAATACAACTGTTTAGAGGATATTTTATGAGTATAAATGTTAATTTTGTCTATGATTGTATTGAACAAGATGAGTGCATGAAACTATGATGACATTATTTATAAACTTTCATCTTTCATCTATTATTTGAATCTACAAATTTTTAATTACAGAGTCAGCTTGTAAGCAAGTTTGCAGGACTGTTCCAAACTACAAGAAGATGGCAATCCAGCTTTGCCGTGTTTTATCATAGTATAAAGCAGAGTAATATACTGGAATGTCATTGGCACCTTCAAAGTCAAGTGATTAAGGAAGCCAACTGTAGACCAGGAAAGGCTTCAAGGAATATACTACAGTATGTTTTTGTTTTAAAACTAGGTTTTGAAAGTTTCAATTTGAAATTTGAATGAATGAAGGTTTCTGGAACTGATTTTTATGCCCCCACAATGTGGGAGCATATAGCGTTGCACTTGTCCGTCCGTCCGTCAGTCCGTCCGCACTACCGAATAGGGATAAGGGGCCATCTAACTGTAAACAGAACAAAAGAGAACAATAGAGTTCATTCCGTAACAATAGAGTAAGGGGCCATTGGCCCTCTATTAAACAATAGAAAATAACAAAAGAAATGGCCCTTTATTCCATTTCGGCCGGACGTCCGTCCGTCAGTCCGTCCGTCCGTACGTCCCGATATCTTGTGAACGCAACTCCTCTTAAACCGCATGGCAGATTTTGCTTAAACTTACAGGGATGAACAACCTTAATGTGTAGATGGTAGTAAAGGAAGGAATTTTCACTGCGACCAAATTTAACAGAATTATGGCCCTTTGTTGATTTTTTCACTAGATACTATGTAGAAATTTTGTGAACGCAACTCCTCTAAAACCGCATGGCAGATTTTGCTTAAACTTACAGGGATGAACAACCTTAATGTGTAGATGGTAGTAAAGGAAGGAATTTTTGCTGCGACCAAATTTAACAGAATTATGGCCCTTTGTTGATTTTTTCGCTATATACTATTTAGAAATTTTGTGAACGCAACTCCTCTTAAACCGCATGGCAGATTTTGCTTAAACTTACAGGGATGAACAACCTTCATGTGTAGATGGTAGTAAAGGAAGGAATTTTTGCTGCGACCAAATTTTACAGAATTATGGCCCTTTGTTGATTTTTTAACTATATACTATGTAGAAATTTTGTGAACGCAACTCCTCTTAAACCGGATGGTAGATTTTGCTTAAACTTACAGGGATGAACAACCTTAAGGTGAAGATGGGAGTAAAGGAAGGAATTTTCGCTGCGACCAAATTTTATAGAATTATGGCCCTTTGTTGATTTTTTCACTATATACTATGTAGAAATTTTGTGAATGCAACTCCTCTTAAACAGGATGGCAGATTTTGCTTAAACTTCCAAGGATGAACAACCTTTATGTGTAGATGGTAGTAAAGGAAGGAATTTTTGCTGCAACAAAAATTTAACAGAATTATGGCCCTTTGTTGATTTTATCATTATATACTATGTAGAAATTTTGTGAACGCAACTCCTCTTAAACCGGATGGTAGATTTTGCTTAAACTTCCAGGGATTAACAACCTTAATGTGTAGATGGTAGTAAAGGTAGGAATTTTTGCTGCGACCAAATTTAACAGAATTATGGCCCTTTGTTGATTTTTAGTTTTCAACTTGTGGCACATGTAGTCCAAAAAATATTTTACCTAGAGTCATAAGATTGACAGAACAGTGGCGTGTGGGGGCATCCGTGTCCTATGGACACATTTCTAGTTTTATTGATACTTTGTTGGAAATGCTATTAATGTTACATGATGACTCTCCAGCTTTACTGATGCAGATGTCACTTTGAGCAGACAGATACAATTAGTGTAGGCAATCGGAATCACCTTATGAAAAGCGTTATTTTTTGCAATATTTTTAGAGTGCTTTAGGTTGTAACATCCAGTATGACATAATCTAAAATAATAGTAACAAACATCGTTTCTTTTCTTAACATCGCAGAATTGTCACATTGCTTACCAAAGTTTTCTTGAAATCCTGTCACTAAGTACTGATGAAGAAAAATAAGAAATCAACATGAAAAAAATTAAATTCACTATTTCAAAACAGTAGACAAACAATTAAAAGTAACTACAGAAAAGGTCATTTGAAAATATTAAAGCCTTCATTTTAAACAAAGGTCTTGAACAACTAATCATTCAAGTAGTTTTGGATCACTCAAAAGATGTATTTCTTTTCACAAAAGTGCTGATTTTTTAAAACAATATATATCAACAGTGAACTGATATTTTTGTCTATGGAAACGTTTTAAGGAATGTATCTTTTTTATGCTCCCCGAAAAATTTCGGGGGAGCATATAGTCGGCGCCTTGTCCGTCTGTCCGTCCGTCCGTCTGTCCGTCCGTCCGTCTGTCCGTCCGTTGTCTTGTCCGGAGCATAACTTGAAAACCCTTGGAGATAATTTGTTGAAACTTCATACAGTGGTAGAGGGCATCGAGGGGGAGTGCAGTGTCAAAGAACTATAACTCTATTTTGCCCAGTTTTTGAATTATCTCCCCTTATAGAAAAATCTTGTCCGGGGCATAACTCTAAAACTATAAGAGATATCAACATGAAACTTTGTAGGTGAATAGATCTCAATGGATAGATGTGCAGTGCAAAAGAACCATAACTCTGTTAAGCCTTATTTTTGAATAATCTCCCCTTTTAGAAAAATCTTGTCCAGGACATAGCTGTAAAATTATAAGAGATATCAACATGAAACTTTGTAGGTAGATAAATCTCAATGGGTAGATGTGCAGTGCACAAGAATCATAACTCTACC